GTTGTTGTTGTTGTTGTTGATGTTGTTGATGTTGTTGATGTTGATGTTGTTGCTGTGGTTCATGTTGTTGCTGTGGTTGTGGTTGTGGTTGTGGTTGTGGTTGTGGTTGTGGTTGTGGTTGTCGTTGTCGTTGTCGTTGTCGTTGTGGTTGTTGTTGTGGTTGTTGTTGTGGTTGTTTTTGTAGTTGTTGTAGTTGTAATTGTTGTTGTTGTTGTTGTTGTTGTTGTTGTTGTTGTAATCATATCAGTAGTAGTATCAGTAGTAATAGTAGTCATTAAGCAGGATAACAAAGCAGTAAGTATGCAAACTTGTAAAGTAGTACTGTACTAGAAGCAGCAATAACCGCAACATTTTGTAGCAGCAACAGGGGCTGTAGGATTTGTACGGCAGACGAGCTGCAAACCCTTCTGACCCACATTTGGGAAGTAAGGGCTACGGGTGGAAGTAAGCTGAAGTACTTCATACTGTGCTGCCCTTGGTGTATCTAATCGCGTTTCAAATTTTAGTGATGAGCGGGGAAGCACGAAATGCCAGCAACGCAAAGAATTGTGGCTGCACTGCCACTACTGCAGCTCAGGTGAGGTCTCTGGAGAAGGAGACGGAGGCAGCAGAGGCCGTTGCTGGGTGTGGGCTGCAAAGGTCTGGTACTTCGGGAGGAAGATGGCAGTAGCGCACGGTACGGTTTGGGGGCCATGAATGAAGTCTGACAAGCTGTCCATGTTGGGTTTCCAAGGGCCGCGTGCAATTATTGTTTACCTTCAGATGCGAGCGGAGCACACAAGGCAAGCCGCAGAGCGCTTACATGTCGGTCACATAAATGCCTGGGCATATGATGCCAGCCCGAAAAGCCATTCTGCCGTGCAAACGCGCACTCCACCAGCAAAAGCTGCAGCAATAAATTGCAGGGCTGTCCGAGAGGCAGGCATCCAGGGTAGATCTAGAGGCAATACTAATACCGAGTTAGTGGAACGGGGCATTGAACATTGCCCCATCAATCCTACAAACTACCAACTTTGCTGCCGACTGCTCCCTAAGCACTAAACCCTAAACCCTAAAACCCTAAACCCTAAAACCCTAAACCCTAAACCCTGAACCCTAAACCCAATTCCCCGCCAGGCCATGGATGAAGCCAGGCGTATCGGCCTCATGGTGCCTAAGTATGCGGCCGCAGCTGCAGATGCCGCGGCTAGAGCATCGAAGCTTGACTGAGACGGGTTTAGGGTTTTAGGGTTTTAGGGTTTAGATGGGTTTAGGGTTTTAGGGTTTTGGGTTGAGAGGAGTTGTAATGGCAGTAGTAATGGTGGTGCATGACGGTGATGGCCGCGGCGCCGGCGCCGGTGTTCAGAGTCTGCGGTTGCCGTTTTGGTGCAAATTGCCCTGGCTTAGAGGCTTAGAGTGTAAGAGTCGAAGCCTTCGGGTGAGTTTTAGTGTCCCTCGGCTAGTCTGCGGTGGAATTATGTGATGTTGATACGTTTTGCTGAAAAGCCGGGTCGTCATGTAGGCTGAGGTTCTGCAATTGTAGATGCAAGAAGACTCCAGTCACTCATGGGTTCATTTGCCTGTGGTTCCGTGTAATACAAGTTTGGGCATACCTTGTAGTGAGTGAGTATTCACATTCAAGGCAACAAGCACGGTAGCATCACTGAGCCCAGGATCTTGGGATCCCAGAAATGGATGCCGCCCTCGTACCAGGCTGTTCCAGCCATCAACGCGAAGCGACGCTCGGTACACCGCTACCTACCTGGACCCTGGATGTCCTGGCTTTTTTGGGGATAGACCCTATAGCTATACATAAATATCTACGCAAGACAGAACCTACAAAAGGAAGGACATCCAGGGTCCAGGTAAGGGTTTCTCAACGGCCTTGGTTCCTATTTCGAGTGTTCTCACAAAGCGTGTGGGAGGACGTATGAACGCACCAAGCGTGTCTGCTCATCAATGTGGTTTTGCGTGCAGGCTATGTTTTTTGTGTTCAAAATGTTTCTTGCTGCCGTGCAGCTGCTACATTGTACATTTTACGTTTCTGGGTCCGAGTCCTCTCGCCAATTCTCTTTTGTTACCCAGCCCCTTTGAAGACATCACACGTGCCTTACTGGATCATATGGGAGCAGAGTCCCAGTACAGCAGTTCTCCAAGTCCTGCACGCACGGGTTTGTTTGAGACAACACTTCTCGCCTAAATTAGACCGGGACAAAAGGTGGAACATCAGAGCGCCCTACTAAGTGGACCACTTTGAAGGAAGTGGTTTTCCTGCTTAAAGCCGACAATAACAATGGGTAGTTGCGATGGGTTATACTCAGTTCGACATTAGCATTGGCGCAATCCCCTGCAGTCTGCAAGTTTGGGGAAGATACTCGAAATCCTAAGTTCGGGTTTGCTGTTTCATTCCAGGTCTTCTACACTCAAGAGCTCTGCTTCTGTGGTGCCTTGGCCCAAGGACTGCCGTTCCCAGAAGTCCCGGCCAGCGCTCCCTATCCGGTGCCTGCGGCTTCGCCCGTGGCCTTCGCGCCAGCATCGGCACCGGCAGCTGCACCGGCTGCGTGAGAGACATGGGACCATAGCGTGCCAAGCTGAGCAAAATGAAGGCGACGATTTCCTTGAAGTCGTTGGGTTCTACACCTCCTCAGTAGGCATACCTGCATTTCAGCAGCTGCTGCTGCTGAGAGATGCTGATGTGCCTATAGCTTCCTCCCAGCAAAGTGCTGCCGAAGTGCATCCCTTTCAAAACTCACCCTGGGTAACTGACGTCTAGATCGAACTCACGGCTTGTGGATGCTCAGAAGCCAAAGGCTCCAGCGGCGTGTAGCTAGTGGACTTGATCTTCACGACTGGCAAAGCAGCCTTGCAAGCTTGGCCTTTCAGATTCCTTCGACTTTGTTGTCATGCTATCGCACTCGACAAGTCACTTGCAGACGGAAGCGGCTCATACGGCAACATGGAAGCTCCAAGCGCAGCCGCGATGAAGGTCTACTCCTCAGACATGGTTAATTTCAAGGGTTTTGGACTTCGGGGGAAATCACCCACGGATCGCTAGGATACATGAGGAAAACCGGGCGGGGCGGGGGAAACATTTGCGTAATGGCCATTTTGGGAAGGAGGATGTTGAACATCTATCAATTGTCTTCAGATAGTTTGACAGTTCGTACAGGCACGGGCCAAGCACATGCGTGATTCAGGTGGTGTAGCGAGGGCCAGGTGTGAGTCACACCGAAGCTTTGCTGTAGCGCTTGGATGACTGCGCTGTGTTTAGTGGGAAGCCAGCAAGAGCGGCAGCGCTTGTTGATCGCAGTCATTTCAATTTGCCTTCTGGTCCCGCGCCCAAATGTGCGCAGAATGAAGCAGCAGCCAGGAAACATCCACTGGTGTACGTTGTTTCCCTTGCTGTGCTATCAACACTGTATCGCCTGCCCTGTGCAAAGGAGAGGCCTTTCGTGCAAGTACATGCTCACTCGATAACCGGGCCATAGGACGCAAAAAGAAATTGAGCTCCGTAAGCCAGACCCATCCCTGCACGATATCCTGTTGACTCCACGCCTGTACTCTCTGAGATTGCTGCCGGCCCTGCAATGTGGGCACCCAGCGCAGTCAAGTGTGCAACTGAGCTTGCGGCGCCAGTTGTTTGCAGTATGAAAGCAAGGTGGTGTGACTGTCAGTCCTGATGCTTCAGCTGGTACTAGAGTTCAGGAAGAGCGTAAAAAGAACAGTTTCATGGTTTACAGCGTGACAGCAGCAGCACTCATAACGGAGTAGCAAGGTTTCGAGCTTGGGGTTTTAGGTGAGGAGCGAGTGGCTTTCAAAGGTACTGCAGGACCGTTGGTGCATAGTAGTGCCTGCTGTCATAGACCAAAGGAGGCCCTCACGCAATGCCTGAAATACCAAGCCCTGAACTGTCCATTATACGTTTGATCAAAAAGCCCGGTACAGTACCAAGCAGACTCCGCTTCTGGTTTCCTGTTTTCTCAAACGAGAAGACTCCTTGAGAACGAGACTGCTAGCAAACGCCAAAGCCTACCCAGAACCTCTAAAGGATCCCAAAAATGGAACCCGCTAGTAATCCCCTAGTTTCCCGTTTCCCCAATGTAGCAACGGGCTCAAATTGGGGGGTTCCCTTTTTTGGATCCTCTAGGGGGTCTGGGTATAAGAAGGATGGAGTTTGTCTAATTCAACATGAGGGTGGGGGTATTTCAAATAGGGCTTAGGGTTTGGGGTTTAGGGTGTCGAAGCCTGACCCGATACAGACAACTTGAGAAACACCGCGCATTCTGAGCTGGAAGTTCATTGGGATTTGTCCAAGGTACCTCATCTTATTGCCAGCAGCTCAGGGTAGTAGCCACTTACCAAATCATTTCAAGTGTCCTGCCCCTAAACCTGGATCCCAAACCCTTTGCTGCCTCACGAGTCCCGTAACTCGACACATAAACCCTAAACGGCCCTAAGCCCCTGTCTTATCTTCACTCGAATCCTTAAACTTAAGCGCCTGCATCCCTGGGCCTTAAGCCGAGTTTAATCCCGCAACCCTTCGAAAGCCTAATCCCTCACGCTTAATCCTTACCTGGACCCAGAGAATCCATGAGTTACTCATCCCGAAACTCTCTGCCATCCCACGCTGCGCAGCATCCCGACGAGGATCAGCTCGCCAACAGGGGTCTGGCGAGACCCAAAGGCGAGATGAGAGCCAAGAAAGGATGGAGAATGGAAACAGTCAGGGTTCGGGCTTTGGGTCCAATCCTTGGTAGGGGTTTAGGGTTTTGGTTATCAAAGAAGGGCTCGAGATGAGACCTTCTGATTCAGGGGAGACATGAACTGTTAAGGGGTTGGGAGGGGGGGTTCTGAAGGGAAGGGATTAGTTGCTGAAAATAATCTCTGGGTAGTCTGGAGAGTTCAAAGACTTCTGGAAAAGAGTGTTTTCAAAGTCTCCAAAAGTCCTACATATGTTCTCTCTTGCCTGTGTAAACTGGGCTTTCTTTAAGACATGGAGTGGGCCTTCACGACAATAAAAGCATTGAGATCCGCGAAATTCAGAAACCTTCATCAAGAGCTGATCGGCTGATCCCCTGATCCCCAAAATCCAAATGACTCTCAGCACGTAGACCGCACATTCCAATATCCAAACCCCAACCTAACAACGACCATGCCCCTAAGCCCTCAAATTCCCAGAGGTGAACCTAAACGTTGAACCCTAAACCTTCAACCCTACACCCCAAAACCTAAACGTCTAAATCCCAAACCCTTAACCCTGAAACCTAATCCCTAAAGAGTAGCTTCCAGCTAATTTTCCATTATCCCAATACAACCCCCAATATATCCTTTTATAGAATCCCTATAAATCCTAAACCCTAAACCCTAAACCCCAACCCTATATAACTCCCTCATAACCCCAAACCTTTAGCTCTATAGGTTGCCACTGCGGCGCGGCAGAGCTGTGCCTCCAGCGCTGGATCCGGCCTGGATGGGGGAAGGGGGTTTAGGGTGTAGGGTTTAGGGTTTAGGGTTTTAGGGTTAAGGTTTTAGGGTTTAGGGTTTAGGGCCGTAGCCATTTTGGCTCAAGCCATTGTGGCTCAAGGGCCATTTCTGCTACGAGACCCTAGCGGGTGTATTTGCCAATTAATTCTGAGTTTCCGCAATCGCTGACGCAATGGCCACAAGGAAGCTCTACTCCTGTATAGCCTATTCTATTCGTTTGGCCAGCAAGGAAGGCCAGACTGACACTGCCAAGTGTTTGTGGGATGCCCTCCATGGCCTGACTCAGGACAACAAGCTTGAACGTCAACCCATCTCGTTGTTCTCGGCTTTGAACTTGACTGAGTCGCAGCAGCCGGTGTCACCTGCTGCGGTGCTTTTAGGATTGGTCTCGGCGGCTAAGAACACTGGTACCCAAACTTCGGATGTGATGATTACACAAGCTGAGTGCGTCGGTTTGCTGGAAGGCGTCATGCAACAGGCGCAGGAATCGGTGTGCGGTCTGGTAAAGTGACTTGAGAGCTTGGAACAGCAGAACGTGACAAGGCCCTCTGAAACACGTGAGGCGATGTCAATACCTGCACCTGCTTCAAGCAGTTATGTTACAGCGGGATCGCGCTCACTTACTGGTTCTGACAGTGTAGCGCCAGAATCGAACGTGCCTGTTAACTCCACTCATGGGAGCCTTGGGCGTAGCCTCCGTGCGGCCCATGTCAGTTCGGTGACTTCTCGGACTCCAAAGGCGCCACCACTCTGGCCCTTTCAGGTTGTTCTGCCATTTGAACAGACGTTGAAAAGGCTTTCGGCTGAGAGTGATGATAATGAGGTCCTCCTGCCACTTGGTGTTACTGTGGATTGAAGGTTCAAGAGTTTGATTGTTTAATTACGTCTTTTGGCGTGACTCCTCAGAAGTGGAACGCAGCTGCTAGTTGCAATGACCCCTGAGTTGTTTTGCATGCACTTGACCAGCTGGATTCCGGCAGATCGCGCAGAGCCCGGATGCAAAAAGGGTTTAGGGTTTTGGGTTTTACCCAAAAGTCGATCAGTTTGAGGTGCCTGCAGTATAGATTAGGTGGACCCCCACCCTGTAATGGTGACATATGGTGACTGTACGGAGTAATAAGGATTTGATTAGGGTCCTCTTATATTCCTATTATACCACTATTGCAGGGTGGAGGGCCTCCTAAAGTATAGATCCCTTTGTGAGACAAGTGAAGATCTTTTGGGTCCAAGGTGAGATTTCAGGTCAGGATTCAGGAATTTTCCTCTGAGAGCTGAGGTTTCAACAGTGGTTGTATTTTTTTCGTTTGGACGGCAGCGGTTGTGGATTCAAGGTTTTGGAAGCAAGAATTTGGCTGCTGCGCATGTTACATGGATGCTTGAGCACGTGACTCCGTGGATTATTGCATGCCGGTTGAGCAGCATCCAAAGGCTATGCTTTTTTGAATGGCAAGCTGCCGCAAAAAAAAGCACACAACTGCCAAGCAAGATTCAAAGTTGCCCCGTGCCCCCCCAACACTTGCCATCATCCAACATTTCCCCATCTTCTGTGCAGCGGCCAGATATGAGACCAGTTTGCAATCCTACGCATTCAGAGAAGGCAACCTCTAGAGATCCCTAAACCCTAAACCCTAACCCCCTTGGTGCAGCTCAATTTGTGGTCACTTCACGGGCCCACTCCGCCAAAGACAAGGACTAAGAGCTCTGGCTTCAGATATGGAGAAACCACAAGCCTTACCTAAATGTGCCCAGGAAAAGGGCCAACCCGGAACCTAGAACCCTAAATCTTAAACCCTACATCTTAAGCCCCAAACCTGAATCCGCCTTTCAACGCTATACGCTAAACTGTGAATGCTGGGCAGGTGCCATGGCAGCTGCCTCATCTGCCGTTGTTGCAGGTGCGGCGGCTCGGCATCGCGTCCTGGCCTCAGTCCTGTTTGGGCGTGCTCAAAACATTCAAGAGAGTCAAATGGAAAGCAAATAGTGGGTTTTCAAAATTAGGGGTGCCTTTTTGGGGGGTCGCATCAATCACAAAAAATATAGTTTTTGGGGCTCTAGATTGAGGTTCCCTATTTTGGGAAACT